ATTCTGTATCCTAGTTAGAATTCAATATGTAAATTAACAATAAAGTTATATTCTTCATTTAGACTAGTTTATAGTAGTGTACAATCAGTTTTAGGGCCAGGAAAACTCATATACATGAAATATAGGGAAAACTCACATATTGTGTTGTATCTTACTCAATTTTTGATCATTTTAATTTATATTTTCTGGAATATGAAAGATACTTCAAAAGTATAATTTTTACAACTTAGATCATGTAATTTGGTTAAGTATTAGTTGAGTTATAGTAGATTTTGTATTTGAGTGTACTTAGTGTGACGAAAATCACGAATCGCGCGTGTGACAATATTTATGAAAACGACAGTAACACGCTTCTATGTGTCCAGGCTTGGCTCCTTTGTAACGGTGCCTGAAATCTGCTCAAACCACAAAAGCTTGCTATCAGCTCATTCATCACATGTGATGAAGCTCAAACCTTAACTTCGTGTTGTGTCCTCTGGTGAAACTTCCACTCACAATCTTCCTGTCACTTTTGAATGGTTAACACTCCTTGACAGTGAGTGATGATAGAAGTAGTTAATGAATTTTCCGGATCATATGTGGATTAAGCGTCATTATGCACCATGTGATTGTTTAGCTGTATCGAGGGCGCCCGTGGCCGCATTGTTGCCTCAGTCAGTACATCGCAAACGTCAAAGACTATCCAGCATTGCTTGCCGATGCACAAGGTTGATCAAATCCTTTTTGTCTTTCCTTAATTATGCTGCACTGACTTTGCTTTTTGGACACTTGATTCCTTTGTTTAATTTAATATCAGATTTTAGTTGATTAACGCAGCTAAGCAGAGCCCGATTCTCACACCAGATTCTAATTTTAGAGTGCGCGCAGGCTGAGATCAGGCAACTGTCAGGCAGGCAGACTCTTCTTGAACGTCTTGAACGACGCAACTCTAGTGAAGGCACAAGTGAAGTTTTCCCAGCTTCTGCTATTCTGTGCCTACGACGCATGATACAGAAAATTTGCAGTCAATACGACTGCCTCTCACGATCAACAAGAAAGGCTCGATTGCTATAACATCCTGGCCACTTGTATGCCTGGACGCAGCAATGCATCGTTTTCCCTCTGGTTACCACCATGGTGTCCGCTGCTGCTGCTATATCCGCTGCCACTGCACAGTATGTCTCATTAACTCGAAATAATATATGTGGAAAATCACATTTGTAATTGCAGCTTTCTTCAGTTTCGTATACAATGGGCCAGCATTGGTACGTCCGGCCTTTTCCCTGGGAGTCAAAACCTTTCTCAAGTTCATATAGCATTGCTTTACTATGATTACGCTTTGACATTTCCTGCCGAAGGTCTGTCAGACTTCAACCTCAAGTACGAAGATTATCCCTAATTGATGTTGTACAGTAAAGTATATCTGGGGAAAGAAGTTCCGTATCTCGACTTTCTTGTATATCTGCTGCAGATATGCCCTTATTGCAAATGTCCTCTTCTTGGCTGCCATTGCAAATAAAATTCCAAATATTACAAGGGTCAGTATTTGTGTTTTCATGTAGAAATTTTTATTTCACGTCTCATGTTTTCTCACGGTCTCTAGTCTGTTATTCTCTTGGAATCTGTAAACTTCCATTGTCTTGATACTTCTTTTGCTTAGCTGTGATGCATGGTACAAATTTGATGGTGCCATCAGTGTTCTGGGAAGGGTAGCTGTCGTCGGTACGTAATATGAAATTTGTCATCTCTTTAACGCACGTTCTTATGTCTTTTACTGCAGCAACGATCACTGGCAGAACGTATGCTGTGTATGGATGCAGTAGGCTTGTTCTCGTTGTCCTTGGTTCTCTTGGACTGACGTGCATTATACTCGATATTGTGCGTAAATCACATATGCGTACTGACTTCTGTGACACTGACGCTGAAAAGATGCATGTTCCGGGTCTTAATTGCATTGGAGGAACTACAAATGCTATGTATGTCTCCTTTCAATATAAATTTTTAATACTGACAATACATTTGTTCAGCGGTATATTCTGCAAATATTTTGATCCAATGATCCACATGTACTGATGTGTATTTCGCTAACTTTTGCAGAGGCAGGTCTCTTAGCAATTTTGATGTGTGTTTTCGAGTTCCTTGCAGTCACACTCACCGTTGTGCGCTGCATTCAAGAATGCCGAGTAGGAGGTTCATGGAAATTTGAAAGAGGAGGATTCTTCACATTGGTTTCTCAACAAGGTATACTACATCACACCCTTTCTAGTTGAGGACTAAAATGTTATTCATAAACGTTGTTAGGCTTTTCCTACTATTGTATTGTTTCAGTTTTCACAACGACTGCAGTCATTCTGACCTTTGTAAGTGCACTTTTTACCATTGAGTCTGTCAGGTAATTCTCATACTTGGTTAATCACAGCGTGCACCGGTACGCCGTCATGTGTAGATGCTTGACTAATCCTGATAAAATTCGCAATGCCAATATGTAGAGGGGTTCATTCTTCCAGCGGATCCCTAACGCAATGAATCTTCCGTACGTATAACTTATCTCATCAGATACAACACGATTCTAACCAAGTTACAAATATCAGAGTATCTTGTCTCCTGACGGCTCGTTTCCTTCTCCAACTGCGTGAATGGCAAAGTCGAGACACTGTAAACGCCGAAACTAGTGCGAACTTGGAATTCGGTACGCAAAGTAATGAGCATGTGCAGACATTGTCAGTGCTCCGTGCTGTCGCCGTTGTCGATGATGCCATACTGGATGATTTTGGTGGTTACGAGCCGTCTGCGGATTTCTCGTGGGAAACTGAGAGCACACGTGCGTATGGTGCAGAGATGAGTCCTGACAGCGAGAATGGGATCGTGCTTGATAATTTGCTGTCATCGAGCGGAAACACGGTTGAAAAGGACTGTTCTGGAAAAGTATAATATACAGATCAGTGCCATTCATTTGAATAACTTATGCGATGAGGCTATTTGTTTGACTTAAGGTACTGTGTCTTGTATCACAATTCTGTATGGAAAATCTAGGTACTATAAGAGTAAAGGAAATAATTTTGCGTTTGGTAATAATATATCTATCTTGGTATAACACCATTGAGTCCTCCTGCCTCCATATCAGTTTGTTGAACACGAGTTGTATCACGTTCAGTCCTCGGTGCAGACAAAACAGGCTGGTCGTGATTACCAAAGTCATCCATCATAATCGCATCTACGTTAAGTGCAAAGCTAGGTGTTGGTAATGTAGTAGTCGTATTTACCCCTCCGAAAGTAGTCACAATGGATCTAGACCTGTCTTCTTGCCATTCTCGTAGTTGGAGGAGAAACCGTGCAGTCAACAAGCAGGATAAACTGAGTTTCGGAAAATTAGCCAATAGGTCTTCCGTTATTATGTCTGATGACACACGGTAACGTTAATGCATTGAGTAGGCGTTGGAAAAATGACCCGGACTAGATACACATTTTATCAATATCTTTGAAGTCAGAGCTAAGGTGCGAAATTCACCGGTTGTGTCTAAGTGATTGCGTTTGTTACGTTTGTTACAGCTCGTGGAAATGATTAAGTAACTTACAAAATTGAGCACGATCGTTGCGGTCGTGAAAATTGATACAATGCAGAAATATATGAGACCTGAGGTGTTTCGATAAGCTAAGAAGATGCAGTCACATAAATGAATGGGTGTACGAACCTTGCTCAAAAATCAAAGAATAAAGACCTATCTCCTTGTTTCTCCAGGATCCATTCTCACGGTGCTCTTGGACAGCTCGATATACTGTGAGGACTGCAACAAGACATTCATAGAATGCAGTGAGGACAGCATTGGCATCACTGGCTGATCACCGAAGTTGCAATGAACATATATCAGCTCTTATTTCTTCCTTAAAACTATATTATTTGTTCCGACAGACCTCTGAACAGGGTTAGATAAGTCTCCGTGTGTGCATAATAGTGAAATACATACTTTTCATTATCGTTTGCACCAACACATTTAGCACCAGGGACATGGACCTGATGAAAGTCAGAATCAATATCCAGTACAAAATGCACCGTATACTCACAATCGAAAGCCCTATACATGTCACTCCTATAAAACAGACCAAAGCAAGGATATATCGATTACAGTTGAAGACAGCATATGTTCTGGCTCCGAGTGCAACTGGCAAGCGAGTTAAGCAGCAGTTACGGAGGGACACGCATTAACGTACAGATAACGGCTGCTCTGCCCAATAAACTGATTGCAGCAACGAACTTATACCAGGTATCGCAACTAAAACTACCTTCAACACATGGAACACGTCTCCAGAAATTGACGTACTACAATCCCATTCAGTTAACGACAATATGTCCAATGAATCGAGAAAATAAGATACATACCTTCGTTGTAAGCTTCTTGGCAATTGCCAACAAGTAAATAACGTTTGCAATAAGTGCATAACGACAACAGAAGTATAAGATCGTGGAGATGCGGAATTTTCCTCTCCATACGTGCTTGACTGTGAAAACTATAAATGTGGCAATGAAGAAAAAGTAACAAGAACTCACCTTCCAAACCAACAGTGAGAGCATAGTCATAATAGAGTAAAGCTATCCGACGAGAGGTGAGATGCGTCGAAGCGCGAAGCGACTGGCCAAACCTATGCTAGAATACTGAATGAGAAATTGAATGTGACTTCATTAATATCGTGGTTCATTTTGTGAGTAAATTGTGCTAACTCTCGGAAAGAGGAGACAACGTACTGTGCTGCAGCCGTGGAAGGCATTACAAGACAAAGGTGGAGGCAAGATCTTGCATTACCATGACTAGAAAGTGGGATATGGGCCTAAATACCATTGTTTCCGCCATCTTCCATCTCGTTTCGCGTATGGGATGTACGCGTCAGAAATCTTGAGCTGGCCCTGAGATTGATCCTCCTTGACGTTATGTAATGCAGAGGTTTATTTCCTATTTAGGTAGGTGATAGTGATGCCGGCAATAAGCGGACTTGCGTGGAGTGATTTTGAAGTCCAAATGGATCTTGACCCAAGGCTTAGGAGGACCGTTTCACCACTCTTACGGTTGGGCGCATCCGTTAATGGTTTCATGCTGACTATCAACATTCATTTCTGTATTTTTGGGTTTGCCGCGTCTCCCCGGAGTGCCTCAGCACACTGCAGAAACACATTTAGGAGTAATCACTGAGTCAGTCTGGTAATCTGGTAATCCGCGACCACCGGAGCATATCTACAATTCTTGGATGGTGCCTTTAATCGTCGGCCAGAAGTGCAGACTATTACTAGAGGTGTGAGAGGATCTGGCAGGAAACACGTTCACAAGACGGACTTAAGAAACGAAGCACAGACGGCGGCTTTCACCCTCAATACATTGCGTGAGTGTACTGAAAACGTGGGTGAATACGCATTCGATGCAGCTCTCATATTGGAAGTAATTAACTTGCTCTAGGTCTAGAAAGCTCAGGCCTCAAGTGCTAGTATATTGTCAACATTTATTACTAGCACTTAGTATGATATGATACTTGACCTGTAAACTCAAATTGAATGAAAGATGATTTTGTAAGCACCTTGTGATCTATGCACATTAAATTTATCAGCATTCCAGAGCTTCTGTACACAAGTACAAATGCTAAATTAATGATGATGTACTTTCACTCTCACAGGGACTGTAAGGAATATCCTTAGTATTAAGTCTGTAAAGCCCTAATAGTCAGTAGTCATTCAGGAACCAAGAAGTATAATAACTATTTATACTTTAGACTCACTCTCACTTTAGTATACTGCTTATTATGTCAAACTATCAAACCAGATAGGTAAAGGCATGTAGAATTATTATGAGATGATTAGTTCATCAACAGACGAACCACGAGACAATGACTTCATAATGTCTCAGTTAGAAATACATACAATATAAGGACGAGAGACACTGAGCAGTCAATCGTCACCTCACCCCTTGTCTATGTGTGCCCCCCTTTAAGTTCTCCCTCTTAACAGGTTATGAGCCTTGAGCTCCCTGCATACATGCATCCACTGTACACTCTAAACTCTTTACTTGCATACATTTGCACACATTCACATCATGGTTCCCTCACATATGGATACACACTGTAAACCAGCTGATGTACCTAAATACTTTGGTCAAAACATCACAATGCTTAAGACTGAAGCTAACTACAAGATGTGGCACTACTGCATTGTTTCTAGTGTTGCAGCTATGTGCTTCAAACACTTATTAAAGGATGAACTGCAGAACAAAGCTGAGAGGGAGATGGCTAAGGCCATTCATGCATGCATAGTTAATAACATTGCTGACACAATATTGGCAAACTATATGCACTTCAATACGTCTATCCCTCAGTTAATGAAAGTGCTTGAAGAACACTTTAACCCCTAGACAGCACATAAAAAGGCTATTGACAAATCAGCACTGTTTATTTGTAGAGACCATGTAAAACATTTCAGACATACATTAGACAGACTTGAGGAAGCATACACAACTCTGTCTACTAACAGTGATCCACCATGCAACTCTACATACAAAGCAGTGATATTGCTTGCTACTCCTGAGTAATATACACACATAGTAAATACAATAATACAATCTACTGATGCCCAGAACAAAGGCAAACCAGTCAATGAACATAAGAAAGTTAAACTAAAGTAACTAATCCTTGCATTACAGAACACCTACAACGATTACTGTACTAAACAAGCACAAGATTCCAATGATCAGACAAAGAATAATGCACACATTAATACAATGTATAAAGCTAATAAGTGGAGGAAATTCAATCTGCCAAATCTGTTCAATCTGACAAAAGCAAAATGTTTCAATTGTGGAAAAACAGGACATTTCTCTAAGGAATGCTACAAACCTCCTACTGAAGCTACAAAGCTTGCATGTACCAAACATCAGGC